CTAATTTTCGGTATACTAATACTCTTTCTTTCTTCTAGTATTTTCTTTTAATTATTTAGCCTTCTAGAAGCCAAGCTAGTATTCTTGCTTGAATCTATTAACTAAATTTTCTTTATAATAAATTTATATAGCCTATTAACTAATATTACTAGAAGAAGACTTTATTATTATATAAAAAAATAAGTATTAAATTATAAAGAAATATAATAGTTTATATCTATATATAAAGAAATATTATAAGAGGTATTTACTAAGGGCCCCGAATTAAATATATATATAATTTTCTTTTAAATTCCTAAAAAAAAAAATATTCCTAAAAGCTCTTTTTTCCGGTTTTAATATTTCCTTTAAAACCCTTTAGTTATTTAAAGGAAAAATATTCTTTTAAACCTGGTTTTATAAATTAAATACTTTTATAATTTGATTTATAAAAAACCTATTCTTTCTAGTATTAAAAATAGTTATATAAGTAATTTCTAATTAGTTATATTTAATAATAAGATTAGTTTATAAAATAAAGAATTACCCGAAAAGAAATTAATAATTAGCTTCTTTAATAAGAAAAATCTAAATATATAATAATATATCTTTAATTTTAATTTAAATATTTTTATAAAGTTCTTTAAAAGAGTAATATTTCCTATTATAAGAAACTAAAGTTAAATAAGGATTTCCTATAATTATAAGATTATAATTATTTATAAGGCTTTAAGTTATAATATTAATTTTAGTATTAGTATTAATTATAGCTTTAATTTAAATAGCTTTATTAAAATATATACTAAACTTAAATATAAATATTATATAATATATGGTTTTTTTATTTCTTTCTAGATTATAAGAAATAATAATAATACTAGAGCTAGATTCTAATAAGTTATATTAAGGGCTCTAGAAAACTAGCTTTAGAAAAGCTAAAGAGTTTAATAAAAGCTTTTGAGTTATAATATTTTCTAATTTCTAATTAAGGATTTTATTTAATAATAGTTTTAGCTTAGCCTTATTTTAAAGTTTATTTATTAGATACTAGACTTTCGAGCAAGAATTAAATAAAAGGCAAATAAGAATTACAGGTAAAGCTATAAGCTTAATAATAAAATTCTTTAAAAAAATTAAATATATAAAAATAGGCTATAGCTAATCTAGTATAAAACTATTTTATTAAATATTTTTTTTATTTATTTATAGCTATAATAGATATTCATTTTCTATTTTTAAGGTATTATATTATAATAATACTAGTTTCTGTCTTTTAATAATTCTTTAATATTTAATACTAATTATAATTATTTTTTAGTTTTTTATATAGCTTATTATTTTTTTTCTTTTCTTTATTCTAGAAATACTAACTATAACTTATTTGTTTTTATTATTAATTTAGATAAAATCTCTTATTTTATTATTAGAATTCATATATAAGTTATATTTTTCTATAACTAAAAAGAAAGAAAAAAATTTAATTTCCGAACTAAAATAAATATTCTAATTTATATACTAAAAATATAGCTTGAATTACTATATTTTATTAATTCTAGAAATAAATTAGAATATTATATTTCCCGAATTTATAAGACTAGTATAGATTTGATTTATTTAATTAAAATATATAATTCCTGTTATATAAAGAGCTAATATTTCCGGGTATTAAATAAATTAGTAAAGAGAAAAGAAATACAAGAAATAATATTCGATACTAGCTCTAGTAAATCTTAATAGTTTTTACTAGAGAATAAGTAAATAAGACTAAAGGAATTAAGCTATATTTAGAAAAGCGGATTTATTAAATATTATTTATATACCCGAATTAGATATATTACTATTTAAAAAAAGCCCTAAATATTACTAAGAAATAATACTAATATTTATATAGCTTAAATAAGTCTAGCTATATCTAATATAAGAACTTTAATATTTATAGGCTATATACTAATAAATAACTAGTAATAGTTTAGTTTTATATAAATAGAAATGAAATAAATAAGGTTTATTTCTATAGTTATTTAAGCTTAAAGGCTATTAATAAAAATATTATAAGAATAAAAATAGTTTTAGTAATAGGTTATTTTTTATTAGCTTAATTTCATTTATAATACTTTATAGCTATTAAGGTAAAAGCCTTGAAATTTATTATATAAGAAATATTAAGCTTTATATTATATTTCCGAATAATCTTTTTATAAAAAAACAAGAGAATTTCTTTAAAGAACTAAAGTATTTAGATATAGCCTTTAAATAATTATTTATTTATTAGATATTAAGAAAAGAAAATATATTATTAATAGAACTTCTATAAATTAATTTTATTAGTATAGCCTTTTTTATTTAAGGCTTTTATAAATCCTTAGGTTTTTATTATTTAGTAAATATTCTTTTCTTAATACTTCTAATATAAAATAATTCTAAAAATAGTCTAATTATTTGAAATTTATTTCGGTATTATATAAATATATTATATAATAATTATATAATAATATTAGAAAAGGCGAGAAATTATAGCTAAACTAATAATATAATAGTTTTAATACTAGCTTTTATATTAGTTCAGGAATTTAGTAATATTAGGCTTTTAAAAATAAAGTATTCTAAAAATAATAGTAAATAATATTATTTATATGAGATATATAGTTTGAGTTTTATTAATAGAAAGATTTACTAATATTATCCCTTCGTCTGGCAAGAAATAGTCCGTACTAGTAAGGGGGCCTGGCTCAGGGCGAAAAGGCAATAGATAACTAATAAGTTTCTAAGTAAAGGCACGCCTTTTTGCTCTAAGCCAGGCCCCCCTGCTAGTACGGACCATTTCTTGCCAGACGAAGGAATAAATAAAGCCGGATTATTATTATTCCGGAAATAAGTAGTAATATTTATTTTAATATTAGAAATAGAACTAGAGAAATTAGTTATAATAAAATCTAGATTATAGATAAGAACTTATATAATAAGAAAAGTAAATAATAATAATAATAAATATAGTTCTATAATTAGAAATAAGGTAATTCTAATAGCTTAAATAATTAAAATTAATAATATTATAAAAAAAAAATTCTAATTTTATAATAACTATTTAATTTTCTAGAAAAATTATAATATATAAATAATTATCTTAATTCTAAAAACTAGTTCTAAAGCCTTAATAAAAAAGCTTTTTATATAAAATGAATAAGATATAAATTATCTAGCTATTTATATAAAAGATAACTAAATATAAGGTTTTCTATTATAAATCCCCGAAGCTATAACTTTAATATAGGCTAATTTTATATTAATTTCTTTAGAATAAGCTATTAGCTTTCTTATAAAATAGGCTAATATAAAAAGATTACTATATTTTCTAATAATTATATATATATTATAGATAAATATAATAAAAAAAATAGTTTTATAAGCTAATTTATTTATAAGATTAGTATAAAGAAATATATTTCTATAATTATAAATAAATAGAATTAGTAGCTAATTAGCTAGTATTCTAATTTTAGAAAACTTATATAATTAAAGCTAAAATATATAAATATAATTAAAAGCAAATATATTCTTAGAATCTAGAAAATACTAGCTATTATAATTTGAATTTTCTTTAGATTACTAATATAATAGAAATTTAATTATTATATGAATTTTAAACTATATATAGATATTAAATATATAGATAAAAATAAAAAGAATAGAAAATTAAATAAATAGAAATAATAATTTTAAGACTTTTAATACTAGTAATAAAATAATATAAATAGTTAAAAAATAAAAAGCTTCGAAAATTAATATATTAGAAAAGCTAATTATATATATAAACGGAAGTTTTATATAATTTCTTAAACTAGTATTAGTATATCTAAAAAGTAAAATATATAATAATAATTATAAAATAAAAGAGAAAAAACCCTATTATAATAGCTTATAGATTAATTATTAATAAAGTAAATATTATAGTTCTATAAAAGAAAAAGCCTATAGATAAGATATTTATAAAAGAACTATTTATTAAAAAAACTAATCTAAGAAAAAAAAAGAACTTTAAATTAAAATTTCTTATTTATAGCTTAGCCTAATAAGGCTTAATATTCTAAATTTTTCAGAATATAACTTTTTTTAATAATAGAATTATATTATATATAATTATTAAATAATTATAAATATTTAGATATTATATTAGATAAAATATAAAATTATAAAAAATTTTTAATAGAAAAAGCTTATTTTTAAATAAATAAATATTATAGAATTATTATTTAAATTATTATAGTTCTTTATTTTGTTTTTTCAGACTTATATTTAGTTAACTAGTCTTTTTAATAAACTTAATTACTATTAATTAGTATAAAAGGGAAACTATAATAAGACAAAAACTCATATAAAGTATACTAGAGTATAAAATATAACTTAATAGTAAAATAATAAATTAAAAGTATAAATAATAAAGTATAAATAGTATATAGTATATAAAAACTCAATTAATTAAATATTTATAAAAGATTATTATTAGTTTACTAGTAATGTATGGTATTGTTATATAGGCGTGGAAGTACTATTTATATATGGTTAGTAAAGTTATTATTATTCAGAAGTAGGAATTATAGTATTATAGTATTAATATGCAATCCCTAAATCTGCTAAGCCTAAAGGGGTCTAGTCTACTAGTCAAGTTACTAATAAGATGCGAGGTTATATAACTATATCCCGTATCCTATATCCCATTACCTATATCCCGTATCCCGTATCCCGTAACTATATATATAACTCCCAAAGAAATAGCTATACTAATACTAGAAACTCTCTAAAAAATGCGAAAAACAGTATCTCTCTCTAATTATATGCAAATTCCCTAATCCGGCCTAGTACCCGATTCCCAAACATTCTATATATCCATATTACTTCTGAGATTTTGGTTATATGCCAAAGGCCGCAGCCTTTTATATGTAACTTCTCCTCCTATAATATCCTCCTATCCTATATACCCATTTCCCGCTCTATTTACACTCGATCCATTCCTCCATATCCAATTATATAGTATTCGTATTAATTAGGCGCTTAAGGGCGTTTATTGGCTTCGATTTCATTATGAAATCGGCAGAATTTAATTCTCCCTTAATCCATTTAACTTCTATAATCTCTCATTATTTATATACCTGGCGGAGGTATATTATATTAATTATTAAATACTTTTCTCGAGTGGTTCCTAATTTAACGAGGCATTTATATAATAACTTCGAATCCGTATAAACTACTAGTAGTAGTTCTATTTCCAGTACTCTATTAATTATAGATTTAACTAAAGTACCTATATTAAAACCGTAAGCTATACTATAGAGTTCCAAAGCTAGAATACTTCTAGTAACTCTCTTATATTTAGTAGAGAACTAGTAAATAATATTAGTATATCTAATTCTATTTACTAGAACTAGAATATATCTGATTTGGGAGAAGAAATCTCTATTATTTGCGAATAAAATATCCGTAAAAACAATTAAATATAAGAACTCCTTTATTAGCTTTACGAATCTCAGTCCTCTAGCGGCATTCTTAATTTGCTATTAAATGCGCTTATTAAGTACCTTTATATTAGTTTCCGAGGGTTTAATAGCTTAAGTAATAATTAATAGGTTATATAAAGCTTCTGGTTAATAGACTAATATAATATATATACCTCTAGTATATTAGGCAATATATTAGTCCTTAATAGAGAGATCTTAATAAATAGTGCCCCTACTACTTATAGTAGTAATATTCTTTATAGAAACGGTTCGGAGGTTTTTATACTAGCATTCCTATATAAGAGTAATTCCAGTAGTATTCGCATAAATAATACCTCTATTAAACTTGAGATTATAGTTAATAATAAGGCATTTATACTTCTTAGCCAAGAACTTAGCCTTATAAAGCTTTAGTTACTTTACTTTTACAAAATTATTAGTTCTAATAAATAAAGTATTATTAGTTTAAAGGCTAATAATTCCGAAAAATTGCTTGCTATAAAAAAGGCAAGAATTATAAGTTAATTATTCTATAGAAAGCTCATTAATATAATAAGAATAATAAGTCTTAAACTAGTAGTTCCCAGCTTCCGGTATACTATATAGTAGTTTTATAACCTTTAGAACCGAATTATTATTCAGATTTAGCTCTCTTATAAGCTCGCAAAATAGATTAACATAAAAATTGCGGTTAAGCAAGGTTATTAATTAGATATAAGCTTATAAGATATTACGTAAATATAGTTCCATAATATCTATTATTATAGTAATAATACTAAGGATAATTCTCTAGCTAATATATTAAATAATAGGCAATTATATTAATACCATATATTTCTTATTATTATTATAAGCTTAAATAACTAGTCTCGACTTCTTAAACTCTCTCTTTATACCCTTATTCTTAATCTCATTAATAAACCGGGAATTAAAGATACGTATTTCCTTTAGTACCTGAGATCTGGAAGTAACCTCAAATACGCCCTTTTCTAGAAAACTAGTAACTTCAACTTAACGGGAGTCCTTATATAGATTATTATCCTATAGAAATACTATAAAATCCGGGTTCTTATAAGGGCGTCCTCTACTACACTTTAGTGAAATAGCGGGAATAGCAGGAGGAATTATACCTATATTGCCTTTAGTATTACTATAGAATTCGGGAATAGGTTTAAGTTCGGGGCCATTAGTAATAACCTCAATATCCCCTATATAAAAGGGCTTTATAGAGATTAAGCAAAAGGTAATATTACTATATAATAGAACTAGTACGCAGTTCTCTCCGTTAACGGCTACTAACTTATATGGTTTATCCCAACTACCAGGTTAACCGGTATTTCCTTTATATTATATAAGAACATCCGAATTCAAGGGAAGTTTATAAATATTAGTAGTACTAGAACTATTTCGGGTATTTAGGGTATTTATAATCTGGTATCTAGCTTAAAGCTTCTGAATTTCTACTATTGCCTTCTTAAGTACTACTAATTACTATAATATAATTAGTAATAAGGCATTATATTCGGTTATTTGAGGTAAAGTACTATAAACCAAGAGGGTTAGAATAATACTATTAGGTCTAGTGAAATTATTAATAGCCTTAAAAGCTATTTAAAGTATAGTATCCTTATTAATTCTATTAATTTCGGCTATAATAATAAGGTAAGAATATTAAATCGGGCTATAATAGTATTCTATAATTCCGACGGAATTATAAGCTTCTATAGAGATAATTTTAACCTTAGTTCCTATAGTATTCGCAAGCTAAGCAAACTTCTTACTAGTAAACTGCTTTCCGGTATTTACTATAATCTAATTAGGAGGGCTTAAATAGGTATTAATCTAATATTACTTTAGGGTATCTCAAATATATAATATACTAATATTTTAAAGCTATTAGCTAGCTTAATATCGAGTACCTTTATTAATAATATAAAGTATAGGCTTACCGGAAATATAGAAAATATTAATAATAATAGAGTAATTAAAGCTAATATTATCTCTTAGATTAAACTTAAATTATTCTAGTAATTATCCGAATTTCTGGCATTACTTATAGTACTTTATAAGATACTTAAGGGCTTCCATATTAATATTATAGCCTGCTCGTTCTAGTACATTTCGGAGCTTACTAATAAATAAATAACTAAAATAGTAATATAAATATTATAATTCGATTTTTATAAAAAAGTAGGAATTATAAGTAAAGAATTCGGAAATAAAGCTTTATAAAATAGTATTTCAAAGCAGGAAAGAATATCTAAAACATTATATTATAGATATAAAGCATCTATTAGAAGTAATGAGATAATTAGTAAGATTATTAAAATAAACTCCTAGCTTATCTATATTAGCCAAGCTAAGTAAAAATAGAGTCTTTATAGGCATAATATAGAATTATACTTGCCTAATTAATATTCTTACTATTATAGATCTAATAAAAAACATAGATCCAATACTAAACTAGATATTAACTTAACCTTTAGTAGTTTCATTAAGTTAGATATTACTATTAGTCTATTATAAAGCTTGGAATTAGTTAGAACTAGCAGTTAAGAATCTGGAGGCTCTGGTATTAATTATAACTCTATAAAAGTAATAAGTATTATATCTTAATATACTATTAATTATAAATATCTAGATATCTTCTATTTATTTAATAGGCTCTAAAATATAGTTTTTGCCTATTATCTAGTATATAAAAGAAAGAAAAGTAAGGTTATCTATAAGGATATTAGTTATAGAAATAGTAAGAGTAGGGGCTATAAGAGCGGCTAGGAAGCTCTTAATAGAAGTAAAATAGGAATTAGAATAATATTTCTTTCCTTTATCCATTTCCGCTAGTAAGGCTTTAAAAGCATTACCTACTAGTTCATTCTTACTACTCTCGTTATTCTCTTCTTCTTCGAATTCGGTAATATACTATATATAAATACTACTAAAGTATTTATTAAAGTTATAGGTATTTCGGGATCTAAATTAGTAAATAATTCTATTCTTAAATCGAGCCTTCTTAGCCTCTTATTTCTCCGGTATATACTTCTATAAGCGGTATTCGGGTCTCTTATATATAAAATACGACTTCGGAGTATAATTATTATAATTACGGGGCTTGAAGTAGTTATTACGGGTTCTAAAGTTATGGCTAGGTCCGTATTAATAATTTCTGGACAGACAGTAATTTAGAGGGTTTTGAGAATAGTATTATTAATTAGTAAAATAGGTTTTAGTAGTAATTTATTACTTCTTCTTATAAATAGTAATAGACGACTAGAGCTTATTAATAAGCTAGCCGAGATTATTAGAAGAGTCCGAGACTATATATTAGTATACTAGTAAGCCTTAATAAGAAGTAATAATCTTATTATATAGGAATTTAGTACTTTATAAGGCAGAAATAAGGCTATACTACAATTTATATAAGTTATTAATTAGTATTTAGACAAGCTCAAACATTGTCTTTTTAGGGTCCTTTACTATTATAGTTACTAAGGTAATAGTATTTCATTTATCTAAATTTTAATAATAGAAATCGGGGCCTTTAAAAAAGCTACAAATATTTATATAGGCCTCTTTATATATATGGCTCGAGAGCTAATTATTATAGAAGTAGTCTTATACTAGTCCCTTTAATATAATAGGAAAAGCTCTCGCTAATACCTCTTCTAAAAGCTCTATATATTAGTAGATATTAAGGAAAATAGTGAGTTTATAATTAAAACTACTATTAGTTCCGTTATACTTCTATATTTTAAAGTATATCTTTACTACTTCCCTAATAAGCTTCCTAGTAGAAATAGTAGGCATTAATTAATAATAGTTCGGGTTTAGTAATAATACTAGTAATAATAAAAATAAAAATAGTAAATAGCCTTAATTTAGAAAAAGTAAATAAATAGCTTAATTTCTCGACTAAGATTATCTAGTTCCCTTATATCTAGTTCTATCTAGAATAAGATAAACTAATATAATAGGTCCCTAGAAAAGATCTATTCTAATTAGACTATTATTAATAATATTAACTTTATTTCATATACTCTTTATCTCTTTTCGGGCAAGGTTAATAAAGAATTACATAATAGTAAGGTTTCTATAATTCTACTTAATATAGATACTACTATAGCAAAGTTAGGTTCAAAGATTTTATATAAGTATATAGCTAATTAGACTATATACTATATTATTAAAGTTTTTGAAGTTATCCTAGAATAGATCCTATAGATTATTATTACTCTTCTTATATAAGATATACTAATATATCTTAATAGTTATATATTCCTAAAGTTTAGCCTTTATTATAATTACCGGATTAATACTATTCTCTCATTTCTCGATTAGTTCCTTTCCCTTATTAGTATCTATACTAAATTAAGTTCAGGTTCTCCCTAGTATATATATATGGTTTATAGCAGAAGGGGTTTAAAGGTAAGGTAGTTTATAATAGGTTTATAGAAAGGATTCGGTAATAAAGGTATCTAGATACCTGGTTTAGATACCAGATATCTAGTAAGGTATTAAAGTAAATATTTCGCCCTTAAATATTTTATCTATAACAAGAAATTTAGGAAGTAAAATACCATAATTCCGGGAGGGTCTAAAGCTCAAATAACTCGATTTAATAGTAAAATCAAAGTAGTAGTTAAAGAGCTTTAAGGGTATATATAGGGCATATATTCCGGAAAAAGGGTCCTATAAATACGGGTATTATATAAGTAAAAAAGATGGTTTCC